GCCTTTATGTTTGTTTTGCTGGGCTCACACAGTATACAGTATTTTGACAACACTTAAAACTCAGGTAATTTATGCAACTGCAATAGAAAAAAATTAAAAATATATTAAAATGTTCACATAAGAAACCTGGCTATTTCCTCTTGAAAAAAATGGAACATCTGTAAACCCAGGACTGGCATTTCTGCAAGGAGGCCCCCAGGTGACACTGAACAGTAGCTGTGCTTGTTTAGATGGGTCACTGCCCTACTAGTCCTTAAGGTCACAGATTCATTCATGGTACTCTCTTGTTCCTCAGCACCGGTGATCCTGAGAGCATGTGGAGCACTGAAAGAGCACCCAAGATGTTGGTATCAACACAACCCTACTGTGCCATTCTGTGTATACCTGTGATTTAGGGCAATGACAGCCTCTTAGGAGTCTGTATCCTCAATTACAAGGTGGAGTTAGTAATACCTGCCCCATGACCTACAATCCAGTGCAGGTAAGTCCCTTAGGGGTCTCAGAATGCATCTGATATGAAATTCCTGGCTTAGCCAGTGGGCAGCTTCTAGGAAGAAGACCCCTACTCCCAGTCCAATCACTCACCCGCTGGTAGTTCTGCTCTTTCTGGATCTGCTCCACTTGTTCCACCAGCTGTCGCACTCGTAGCTGCAACTCACTCAACTTGTCTTTAGCAGCAATTTCTGCATAGTCATTGGCATGCTCACCTACCTGGATGTCCAGGTGAACTCTCTGGGGACAGACAAAGGAGATAAAGGAAATCTAGCAGCCCTGCTCTATATTCCTGCCAAAGACTGATAGCTTATTCCCCACTTTCCTTCATCTGTTCATTTAGCCAACAGACTGGGCCCTCTCCAGTGTCTAGCCCCATGGAGCTCTGGGCACACAAGCAAGTGTTAAGCCTGGGCTGGTGCTGAGTGAGACATATACAGAGAGCTCGGCCACTCTGTCCTGGATATCCACTGGAGATCCAGTGTTCTTAGAAGACACAAAATCTGACATACTCATCTCACACTCACAGCATCACCAGTTTCCCCAGTCCTCACCAAAGGATGAAGGCCGAAAGCTGCAAGTCCCACATGGGCCCACTTACTAGCATGCCTCCAGCAAAAAGGGAGAACTTAGTGGAATTAGAGTGAAGACAGATCTGGTGCTCGCCAGGAGTGTGGGAAGTGAAAGTGAACCTGCCCTCGGAGCCATACTGCCGGGCCAGGATGACCTGAAGAAAGGGAACAAGCTTTAGTTAGTGTGATGGTAGAGATCGGAGGAAAACACTGCTTAAGGCTCTAAGTACCAAAAAGTTGATAAGCACAGCCTTTGGCATCTCACAACACTAAAAAGATCCAAAGCTACTCAGCTGCTGTTGCCATATGCTTGTCTAAGAACTCTTTGGAGCAGGGGTTTAGTGTCTGAGAGTCTGACATCAGGGTGGCAAGTGACTGCTCTTGGGAAGGGCTTTCCTTTATAGCTCATGTCCTTTCAACTCTTTTGATGTGAGCTGCTTTTTTTTGGGGGGGGGGTGTTTGTTTTTGTTTTTGAGACAGAGTCTCACTCTGTCATCCAGGCTGGAGTGCAGTGGTGCTGGCTCAGCTCACTGCAGCCACCACCTCCTGGATTCAAGTGATTATCGTGCCTCAGCCTCCCAAGCATCTGGGATTACAGACGTGCACCACCATGCCTGGCGAATGTTTTTTGTGTCTTTAGTAGAGATGGAGTTTGCCAGATGGGGGTTGCCCGGGCTGGTCTTGAACTCCTGGCCTCAAATGATCCAACCCCCTCAGCATCCCAAAGTGCTGGGATTACAGGCATGAGCCACCGCACCCCACCATGTTTGTTTTTTAATAAAAAGTGACAGAAGGTGACAGCTGAAGGGTTTTGGCTTTCATTTTAATATCCTTATCTGTGAAGATTAAAAGCTGCTCATATTGTGGGGAAAGTATCCTGTTTTGTGAAATCTTAAAGTCTTCATGCCACAGCTTTAGAGTTGACAAAACTCTTTGATTTTTATCACCACAATTAATCCACCCATTTCACAGACTAGGAAAATGGTTCCAGGAAAAGTAACTAACTTGGCAGGGTCACGCATCAGTCAGTAGGAAGTTGAGAGGAGCAGGTAGCGCTGCAGCAGCCCACATTTGGCCTGCAGTGAAACTCTGGGATAGTTCCACAACATCAACCGTCTCTACCACTTTTAGCAAATGCAGGAACTAGAAGAGGAAGTACCAGAGCCTGCCTAGAGAATATCTTGGCGGAGGGGAAGGGGTCGGCTCACCTTGTCCTCTGGGTCCTTCACTTCCACAAACATGCCAAGCCCCGGTGTGGCCGGCTGGTACTCCTCCCGCTGCTTGTCATACAGCTGCGTCCGGTAGTTTCCTGGAAGGAAACAGGACGATCCCAGGTCAGAGGAGTGCATCCGCGACCGCCTGAGCACTAGAGAGCCGACTGTCTCGCATCCCCTGCCCCAAGACCATGGTCACGTTCCAAACTCGCCCCTTCCTCCCCGCCCCCACACCTATGACCATGGTCTCGTCCGGGATCTCCTCAATAAAGCACTTCTTCTCCGTCTCTCCAATGTGAAAGTAGAGCGCGCTTCCGCGCGTCGCCAGCCACAACAACAGCAGGAGCGTCCGCATCACTCCACCTAGCTCGGTTCCGGCCCGGGGCCGGACGACCCTCACGCCCAGCTCCACAGCCATCTTGCTCCACCCGCCCGCGCAGCCGTAACCTACCGCGCCACGTCGCCCTGCCGCCGCCGCGGTGCCTGCCGGGACCGCGAGTTCCGCCAGGTGGACCACAAGTCCCGAGATGTCCTGCGGTCCTGGCGCGGCAGTACCTGATTGGGGCGCAGCTTTTACCTGGGAGAGAGTGAATGCCCCTGAATAAAAACTTATTTCCGTTGACTCCGTTCCTGGCCGGGCGACTGAAGATGGTTACCAGCTTTTTATAGATGAAACTGAGGTATTTTGTTTGAGGTCGCGGAGCGAATTACGAACGGAGACAGGATTCGAACCTTAGGGTCCCTGACTTTCCTTGGCACAGCATCTACCACTCTTAATTTGCTTCTATCTTTAAAAATCGAATTTATAGAGAATGACAAAATAATGCACAAATGTATTATCAAAGAAAGATTTTTTTTTTTAAAGCCAAGGTCTCCCATACCACTTCTTTGTCTTCATACCCTGTCCACTCCTAAATCAGGTGTTATCCTCTCAGACATTCCTCTGACCACCACACGCGCACACACACACACACACACACACACACACACACCTCTGCTGCCGATCCCGACCGCAATGGCTCGTTACTTTCAATTCTACAGAAATAGAATTCTGTAGAATAGGATCATAAGAGAGTACCATGAGCCAAATATAAGCCAACACATTGGATAACATAGATGAAATGGACAAAGTTAGAGAAATGCAAAAATGACTCAGAATAGATAATAAAATCTGAATAAACCTATAACTAGTGAGGAGATCGAATCGGTAATAAAAAATCATCCTTAATATAGTTAAGATGTCAATATTACCCAAAGCAATCTCAGATTTAATGCAATCCCTATCAAAATCCCAATGATATTTTTTGTAGAAACAGATAAACTCATTTTAAAATTCATATAGAATCTCAAGGGATCTTGATTAGCCAAAACAATCCTGAAAAAAGAATAAAGCTAAAGAACTCACACTTCCTGATTTCAAGACTTACTTCCAAGCTTCAGTCATCAAGACAGTGTGGTACTGGCATATAGGCGGACATATAAACCAGTGGAATAGAATAGAGAGCTCCAAAATACGCCCTCCCATATATGGTCAAATAATTTTTAACAAGGTGGTAATCCATTAAATGGGGGGAAGAAGGACAGTCTTTCCAACAAATGGTGCTGGGAAAACAGGATATCCGCATGGAAAAGAATGAAGGTGGATCCTTCTCTAACGCCATATATAAAAATTAACTCAAAGAGACCCAGAATTTTTAAAATCCGAAAGCATAAAACTCATAGAAACCATAGAACAAATGCTTAACCACATCGGATTTGGCAACAGATTTCCTGGATATAACACTAAAGGCACAGGCAACAAAAGAAAAATAGATAAACTGGACTTTATGAAAATTAAAACATTTTGTGCATCAAAAGCCACTATAGCAGAGTAAAGAGACAACCCACAGAATGGGAGAAAATATTTGCAAATCATGTATCTGACAAAGGATTAATATCCAGAATAAGCAGAGACTCCTAAAACTCAGCAACAAAAAAAGAACAACCTGATTCAAAAATCACAATGAATGACTTGAATAGACATTTCTCCAATGATCAACAAATGGCCAGTAAGCACTTGAAAAGATACTCAACATCACTAATCATAAGGAAAACACAAATCACAATGAGGTAAAGAACAAGATACTACGTCATAGACCCGTTAAGATAGCTACTAGCAAAAAAAAGGAAAAGAAAAATCTACAAGCATTGACAGGGATGTGGAGAAATCGTAATCCTTGTGCAACATTGTTGAGAATGTAAAATGGTACAGACACTGTGGAAAACAGTATAATGATTCCTCAAAAAGGTAAAAATTGGCTGCATATAGTGGCTTATGCTTGTAATTCCAGAACTTCAGGAGGCAGAAGCAGGAGGATTGCTTGAGCCCAGGAGTTCAAGACCAGTCAGGGAACATGACAAAACCCCATCTCTACAAAAAATGCAAAAATTAGCTGGATCTGGTGGCATTCGCCTGTAGTCCCAGCTACTAAGGAGGCTGAGGTAAGAGGATTGCTTGAGCCTGGGTGGTCAAGGCCACAGTGAGCTGTGATTATGTCACTGCACTCCAGCCTGGGTGACAGAGCAAGACGCTGTCTCAAAATAAAAAAAATAGAATTACCATATGATCCAGCAATTCCATATCTAGATATATACTCAAAAGAAATAAAAATAGGGAGGGTCTTAGACTATCAAACAATAGAGTCACGATGGCTAAGGTGACCCCAAGAAGCCAAAGGGCAAGATGTCTGCTTATGCCTTCTTTGTGCAGAGAAAAACATAGGAAGAAAAACCCAGCCCCACACAGTGGCTCAAGCCTGTAATCCCAGCACCAGCACTTTGAGAGGCAGATCACAAGGTCAGGGGTTGGAGACCAGCCTGACCAACATGGTGAAACCCTGTCTCTACTAAAAATACAAAAGTTAGCCGGGAATGGTGTGGCACACCAGCAGTCCCAGCTACTCAGGAGGCTGAGGCAGGAGAATCGCTTGAACCCACGAGGCAGAGGTTGCAATGAGCTGAGAGTGTGCCATTGCATACCAGCCTGGGTGACAGAGTGAGACCCCATCAGAAGAAGAATGAGAAGGAGGAAGAGGAGGAGGAGGAGGAGGAGGAGGAGGAGGAGGAGGAGGAGGAGGAGGAAGAACCACCCTGAGGTTCCTGTTAGTTTTGCAGAATTTTCCAAGAAATGCTCTGAGAGATTGAAGACAATGTCCAGGAAAGAGAAATCTAAATTTGATGAAATGGCAAAGGCAGATAAAGTGCGCTATGATCAGGAAATGAAGGATTATGGACCAGCTAAGGGAGGCAAGAAGAAGAAGGATCCTAATGCCCCCAAAAGGCCACCATCTGGCTTCTTCCTGTTCTGTTCGGAATTCTACCCCAAAATCAAATCCACAAACCCTGGCATCTCTATTGGAGACGTGGCAAAAAAGCTGGGTCAGATGTGGAACAAGTTAAATGACAGTGAAAAGCAGCCTTACATCACTAAGGTGGGAAAGCCGAAGGAGAAGTATGGGAAGGATGTTGCTGACTGTAAGTTGAAAGGAAAGTTTGATCATGCAAAGGGTCCTGCTAAAGTTGCCCGGAAACGTGGAAGAGGAAGATGAAGAAGAAAAGGAGGAGGAGGAGGAGGGATAAACTATGTGTCCCCTGGTGAATACTTAGAGTAGGGGAGCGCTGTAATTGACACATCTCTTATTTGAGAAGTGTCTGTTTCCCTCATTAGGTCTAATTACAAAATTTGATCACGATCGTATTGTAGTCTCTCAAAATGCTCTAGAGATTGTCAGTGGTTTACATGAAGTGGCCATGGGTGTCTGGAGCGCTCTGATTCTGTATCAAAGATGTACATATTTCCAAACATTTTTAAAATGAAAAGGCACCCTTGTGTTCTTCTCACTCTGTGCACTTTGCTGTTGGTGTGACAAGGCATTTAAAGATGTTTCTGCCATTTTAAAAATTTGTAAGGTGGTGTTAACTATATGATTATTGGCCAAAAATCCTGAGTTGTCAACTGCACATATCTATAGTTTATAAAAAGAATGAAACAACCGAGACAAACTCTTGATGCTCCTTGCTTGCCATTGAGGCTGCGGGAAAGATGCCTTTTGGAGGGGCTGTAGCTCAGGGCGTGCACTGTGAGGCTGGACCTGTTGACTCTGCAGTGGGCATCCATTTAGCTTCAGGTTGTCTTGTTTCTGTATATAGTGACATAGCATTCTGCTGCCATCTTGGCTGTGAACAAAGGGGTATCAGCTGGCATGAGAAGGTTGTTTTTGCTTTGTTTTGTTTTTTGTTAGTTAAGTGTGACAGTTTTTAAACTGTTCGTTTTAAAACAAACTGTAGAACTCTTCATTGTCAGCAAAGTGAAGAGCCACCGCATCAAAGTTCAAGAACCTTCTGTACTTACACACAATTTGCAATGTTCTGTTATTTTTTTGTATGTTTAGAATGCTGAAATGTTTTTGAAGTTAAATAAACTGTATTACTTTTTTTTAAAAAAAAAAGTAGGGTCTGAAAGAGATATTTGTACACATATATTCACAACAGCATTATTCACAAGCAAAAAAAAATGGAAGCAGCCCAATTGTTCATCAGTAGATTAATGGATAAGCAAAATATGGTATATCCACACAATGAAATAGCAGTCAGCCTTAGAACGGATAGATTTCTGACACAGGATACAACATAGATGAACCTTGAGGACATTATGCTAAGTGAAATAAGCCAGACATAAAATGATGAATACTGGATAATTCCATTTATATGAGGTACTAGAGTCATCAAAAACACAAAAACAGAAAGAATGGTGGTTGCCCGGGACTGGAGGAAAGGGAGAGTAGGAAGTTACTGTTCTATAGGTATAGAGTTTCCGTTTTACAAGATAAAAAGAGTTCGATAAATGGATGGTGGTGAGAGTTATATGGCAATACAATGTACTCAATACCACTGAACTGTACACTTAGAAACAGTTAACTTTATGTTATATTTATTTTACCACAATAAAAACAACTGGAAAAATCCACTAAGTAATAACCATTGTATGATGTGCCACAATTTGTTTAATCATTGAAAGACATCTGAGCTGTTTTTTGTTTGGCAGTATTATAAATAAAAATGCACAGTGATGGCCAGGCTCGGTGGTTCACTTCTGTAATCCCAGCACTTTGGGAGGCCGAGGTGGGCGGATCACCTGAGGCCAGGAGTTTGAAACCAGTCTGGCCAACATGGTGAAACCCCATCTCTACTAAAAATACATAAATTAGCTGGGTGTGTTGGCATACACCTGTAATCCCAGCTACTCAGGAGGCGGAGGCAGGAGAATCTCTTGAAGCCGGGAGTTTGAGGCTGCAGTGAACCATGATGGCACCAGTACACTCTAGCCTGGGAGAAAGACCCTGCCTCTAAAAAACAAGTAAATAATAACAATGACAAATAAGCCTATGAAAATGTGTTCATCATCTTATGTCATTAGAGAATTGTAAATTAAAGCAAAAATGACATACATACTAGTATGCCCCAATTACAATGGCCAAAATCCAGAACACTGACAACACCAAATACTGGCAATGATGTGGAGCAACAGAAATGCTCATTCATTGCTGGTGGGAATGCAAAGTAGTGTGGCCACTTTGGAAGACAGTTTGGCAATTCCTTACAAAGCTAAACATACTCTTATTATATGATCCAGTGATTGCCCTCCTTGGTATTTACCCAAATGAAGTAAAAATTATGTCCACACAAAAACCTACACACAGGGCCAGGCATGGTGGCTCACACCTGTAATCCCAGCACTTTGGGAGGCCGAGGCAGGCAGATCACCTGATGTCAGGAGTTCAAGACCAGCCTGGTCAACATGGTGAAAACCCATTTCTACAAAAATACAAAAATTAGATGGGCATGGTGGCAGGTGCCTATAATCCCAGCTACTTGAGAGACTGAGGCGGGAGAATCACTTGAACCTAGGAGGTGGAGGTTTCAGTGAGCCGCAATTGTGCCATTCCACTCCAGCCTGGGCGAAAACAGCAAGAATCTGTCTCAAAAAAAAAAACCTGCACACAGGTGTTTATAACAGCTTTATTCATAGTTGCCAAAACTTGGAAGCAACCAAGATGCCCTTCAGTAGGTGAATGAATAAATAAACTATAGTACATCCAGACAATGAAATATTCAGTGCTAAAAAGAAATGAGCTATCAAGCTATACAAACACATGAAGGAAACTTTAGTGCATATTACTAAGTGAAAGAAGCCAATCTGAAAAGTCTACACACTGTATGATTCCAACTAGATGATATTCTGGAATTATACAGAATCTCATATATTCTGGAATCATCAAACATGTATGGGTTGTGGAGAGGGCTCGATAAATAGGCAGAACACAGAGGATTTCTGAGGCATTGAAACTATTCTATTTGGGAGGCCAAGGCAGGCAGATTGCTTGAGTTCAGGAGTTGAGACCAGCCTGGGCAACATAGCAAGACCCCCATCTTTAGTAAAAAACAGAAAAATTATCTGGGCATAGTGGTGAGCACCTGTAGTCCCAGCTACTGGAGAGGCTGAGGTGGGTGGGTCACTTGAGCCTGGGAGGTTAAGGTTGCAGTGACTCAAGATCATGCTGCCACACTCCAGCCTGGGCAACAGAGTAAGACCCTATCTTAAAAAAAAAAAAAAAATGGAAGAAAAAGAAACAATTTTATATGATATTATAATGGTGGATACATGTCAACATAATATACACTGGTCAAAACCATAGAATGTATAGCACCAGGAATGACTCCTAGTGTAAACTGGACTTTGGGTGATAATGATACGTCAATGCAGGTTCAGTGATTGTAACAAATGTACCACTCTTGAGTGGGATGCTGATATCAGGGAAGCTGTGTGTGAGGAAGTGGTGGGTTAGGGAGTATATGGGAAATCTCTGTGCTTTCCACTCAATTTTGCTGTGAACCTAAAAGTGCTCTAAAAAATAAAGTCTTTTTTTTGAGACTGAATTTCGCTCTTGTTGCCCAGGCTGGAGTGCAATGATGCTATCTTGGCTCACTGCAACCTCTGCCTCCCAGGTTCAAGCGATTCTCCTGCCTCAGCTTCCCTAGTAGGTGGGATTACAGATGCCTGCTACCACATCCGGCTAATTTTTGTGTTTTTAGTAGAGACAGTTTTCTCCATGTTGGTCAGACTGAGTCTCAAACTTCCGAACTCAGGTGATCCACCTGCCTCTGCTTCCCAAAGTGCTGGTATTACAGGTGTGAGCCACTGCACCCGGCCTAAAGTCTGTTTTTTAATACTATCTTTCCTCCACTGATTTGCTTTTGCACCTTTTAAAAATAATCAGATAGGCATATTTATGTGGCTCTATTTCTGGGTTCTCTATTCTGTCCCATTATCTATGTGTCTATCCTTCTGTCAATACCACACAGTCTTGATTGCTATAACTGTATAATGTTTTGACATTGTGCAGGCTGATTTCTCCCACTTTATTCTTCCTTTTCAAAAATGTTTTAGTTATGACCAGGTGTGGCCAGGTGTGTTGTCATCATATGTCATTTTTCCCAGTTGCTTGAGAGGCTGAGGTGGGAGGATCACTTGAGCCCAGGAGTTCAAGTCTATAGTGCACTATAATTGCACCTGTGAACACCCAGTTTGTTCCAGCCTGGACAACATAGTGATACCCTATCGCTAATTTTATTTTACTTTGTTTCATTTTTTGAGATGGATTCTTGTTCTGTTGCCTAGGCTGGAGTGCAGTGGAGCAATCTCAGTTCACTGCAAACTCCGCCTCCCAGGTTGAAGTGATTCTACTGCCTCAGCCTCCCAAGTAGCTTGGACTACAGATGTGTGTCAGCCCCATGCCCAGCTAGTTTTTGTGTTTTTATTAGAGACAGGGTTTCACCATGTTAGCCAGGCTGGTTTTCAGGAGGCTGAATCACTCCTGACCTCAAGTGATTCACCATCCTCAGTCTCCCAAAGTGCTGGGATTACAGGCATGAACCACCATGCTTGGGTTTTTTTTTTTTTTTTAATGTTTTAATGTTTTAATTATGCTGGTGGAACTTTGATAGAAATTGTGTTAAACTGGCCAGGTATGCTAGCTCATGCCTATAATCCTAGAGTTTTGGAAAGCTAAGACTAGAGGATTACTCGAGGCTAGGAGTTTAAGACCAGCCCAGGCCACATAGCAAGATCACATATGTACAAAAAGATTTGAAAGATTAGCTGGATGTGGTGGCTCACACCTGTAATCTCAGCACTTTGGGGAGTTCAAGGCAGGAGGATTGCTTGAAGCAGACTAGCCTGGGCAGCAAAGCAAGATCTCGTCTCTACCCCCGACAAAAAAAATTAACTGGATTAACTGGCATGGAAGTGCATGCCTGTAGTCTCAGCTACTTGGGAGGCTGAAGAAAAAGGATCCCTTGATCTCAGGAGTTCAAGGCTACAGTGAGCTATGATTGTGCCACCACACTCCAGCCTGGGTGACAAAGTAAGACCACAACTCAAAAAAAAAAAAAAATAGAGAGAGAGAAAAGAAATTGTGTTAAACCTATATACTAATTTGGAAAGAATTTCCATTTTTACCATGTTAAATGTTCCAATCCATGAGCATAG